CAGAAAAAAAGTTTAATCGAAAACGGTGCACTCAATCGTTTTCCCGTGAAAAGCGAACAAAAACACGTCCGCGAGCGTTACCGACAGACACACAGACAGACAGACAGAAATTGAGATAAGACTTGTTTCGGCTTCTCTGGTGTATGAAACGTGAAGATATGCAAAAAGTACACTATTCTAAGCAATGTACAGACAAAACTCTTATTTTATTTATATAGACAGATGAGAGCTTTGTGTAACTCATCCTCTTTCCTAGATAAGTAACCACTGGTTGAGTCAGTTAGTTGTTAACAGATCATTCTGTTCTGTTACTCAGTGTCTCATATATATGTGTGTATGTGTACTAACAACAATGATTTGTTTTAACTCCTTTTAGATTTCAAATTATATAATTCCTGAAATATTCCATAATCAGCTATGAATCTCTCATTTATCATAGATAAAAATGTGCAAAATAACACAAGCCTGCGAATTTAAACTTCATAAAAGTTGTTTTGGTTTAATAACGGATTTTTCATAATTCAGCTACGCAGATTTCGAAAATAATATTATTTTTTTCTTATCACGTAAAGGTTCTTTACAAATCGGGAAGAAATAAAAAACTCTCACTTAGATCAAATTATTATTTCGTTTACCACAATGAACATTTTTATTATTATGTTTGTCAATAAAAATACAAACAAACTAAAGAAAAGGGAAGAACATTGATGTCAAACGACTATGCATCATAATTCAGCCTGATTTTTTTTTTCTCAAATCTACGTCTTGTAGTATCAAAACTACGTGTTGTGGTCTTTCTTTTTTTATTGTGTTATGACGTTTCGTGAAATATCTGTACGTGATGGAGAAAAATGGATATCGTTTTCGGATTCAGTGTACAGAAGTTACTGTAGAATACCTAACAATTTCAAAACAATAAAATCATCGCAGGCCTGTGTAATCATCAGGCGTTGATTAATTTCAGAAGTTACCAGTTTTATTTGGTTACAATTTATTTATTATGGATATTTTTTCTCTATTTTTCAAACTAGTTGAACTAAGACGGTTATTAGTGATCATAAACTTTAGCCCCCCAGTGGTACAGCGGTATGTCTGCGGACTTACAACGCTAGAAACCGGGTTTCGATACCCGGGGTAGGCAGAGCACAGATAGCCCATTGTGTGTAGCTTTGTGCTTAACTTCAAACAACATCATAAACTTTATAGGTGGAGTTTATGACACTAATATGAGAAGCTAGTTTTTGTTTTTCGAGTATACTAACTTACGAGTTTAGATACTGGTAGTAAATTTGTTAGAATGTTGTAGATTGTTAGGTACACAATTGTAATTTAAAACGTTATTTTCGTAAACTTCAGGAAATAATGGATTTTCGTATTTTTACTATATTTGAATATATTTTAAATTTTTTTTTTCAGGGCTAATATACAATTTAGGCTAATAAACTCACAATAGTCGAGGTTTGTTTTTATTGAACGCTTAAAACAGGAATTCTTGGGGAAATAAAGTTTTCTAGAAGCCACGGGATATTTACAAAGACTCATTTATACTCAAACCATTAAAACGTACTCGTACATCAACTCATCTAAACTATTTAACCCAATTAAAACCCAGTTTTGACTCTGTTTACCCCCTAGAAATCAAGAATGGCCAGAATTCGAATTGCCAAGGCAAAAAGTGGTGCAGCATTTGTTAACAAGAAGAAAGAAGCTGAAGCTAGAATTGCTGCACAAGAGTCTGGACAGGAAATTGAAGACGTCACGGAAGATATTTTTGAACTTCAACATCATCATCTTCTTCAATGTCTCGAAAAAACGACAGTAAGTACCTTAGTGTGAAACATTAAAATTTGTAAAGTACAACATAATCTAAATTATAATATATTGTAGTTAACACTTGAAAGTACTGATTTAAAAAGGGTGATATATATATAGCAGACACCTCAGTCGTCAAGTCTAATAAAGAATATTTCCGTAGAACCCAAGGACCAAACTTAAATATTACATATACAGTTTATTTGGAAGACTGCAATAAAATAATTGGGTATTGTGATAACGCATAAATGCCTCCGAAACAATGAGTACACAGTAGACGTTCTCAGCGTTGTTTATCTATAACTATCATAAATAAACGATTGTTTTAATCAAAATTATTATTTTCGTTTGTTAATTGGAAGAAAATATGCAAAATTTTTGTCCCGTTGATAAATAAAACTAAAATGGTCAGAAAAAAAAATTGGTTTAATAAAACACCTAATATAATATCATTTTGCGAAAGAATAAGCCAAGTAAAAGTAGATAATCTCTTTATTCACGGAACCAGATTTACTACGAATTCTTATATTTCGGAATTGATTTATGTGAAAAGCAAGCAGTATCTTCCTATATATATATGTATGTGTGTTTACCATCATAAACGAACTATATCATTATAGAAACATTAGGAACTAGCATAGCCTGTCCGTTTACCTGGCTGAAGTAACAGACATAGTATAAATCAACATGACATATTTTAATTTAGCTACAGAACAGAATCTAATTTAGACAGAACAGAAACAAACACAGGCTATTTTTCTTCCTAGCGGAGCAAAGACAGAGTATAAATTAGCGTAGGTGTTTTGTTTATTTTAGCAACACCATTAAATACAAGATGAACTAACATATTTTATTTCATTACCTAGTCGTATCAACACTTGTAGTTAATTAGCAGGACCACTTTTCTTTACTTTAGCTATACCATTACATACAACAGGAACTACAATATACTATTTCATTAACTAGCTGTACCAGCAGACAATGGTTGTTTGTTTTAGAGTAAAAACATATTGCGCTATCTGAAGTGTCCACCGCGGGGAATCGAACACTGGATTTTAGCATTGTAATTCCGTAAACTTACCGAACGACATAATACGGTATAAAAATTAACGTGACATGTTTTGTTTAATGTAGCTACACCATTATATTCAACAGATACTAATAGTTCTTACTTCTTTACCTAGCTGAACCAACAGGCTTTGTAGAAATTAACTTGATCTTTTTTTTAATTTATCTATACCAATAGATTCAACAGGGACTAACATGGGCTTATTTTACAACTAGCTGTATTAACAGACAGGATAGAAGTTAACATGAGATGGTTTTATAATTTAGCTATACCTTTAGATATAATAGAACTAGCATGGGCTTATTTTACAACTAGATGCAATAACAGACAGGATAGAAGTTAACATGTGATGGTTTTATAATTTAGCTATACCAGTAGATTCAACAGGAATTAACATGGGCTTATTTTACAACTAGCTGTATTAACAGACAGGATAGAAGTTGACATGAGATGGTTTTATAATTTAGTTATACCTTTAGATATAATAGAACTACCATGGGCTTACTTTACAACTAGCTGTATTAACAAACAGGATAGAAGTTGACATGAGATGGTTTTATAAATTAGCTATACCTTTAGATACAATAGAACTAATATATATTACTTCTTTACCCGACTGTACCAAAACAGAGATTACAAATTAAAGTGGCTTGTTTCGTTTTTAGCTAAATCGATAGATACAACAGGATTTAACATAAGCTATTTATTTATTCAACTTTATCAAGAGACAAAGTACAAATTAACGTCATATTTTTAATTTAATTTACTTATACCATTAGATATAACATGATCTTACATAGGCTTTTTCTTTACCAAGCTGTAACAACTGACAAAATCATAAAAAATGTGACCTCGTTTGTTTAATTTAGCTCAACCCATTAAATACAATAAGAACTAACTATGGCTGTTTATATAGCTAGATGTACCAAACACAGAATAAAAATTAATATAAACTGTGTTTTTTTTTTACTTTAGCTGTACTCTTAGGTTCGAGAGCAACTAACGTAGGCTATTTTGTTACACAGTTGTACGAAAAGAAACAGTAAAAATTAAATAACCTTTCTTATTATCATTTAGATAAATACAACAGACACTAGCATAGGCTACTTGTTTACCTAGCTGTACCATCAGAAAAAATTATAATGTAAAGTGACCCGTTTTGTTTAATTTATCTATATCATTAAATACAAAAAGAGCTACCATAAGGTATTTCTCTATCAGTTGTATCAACATAAAGAGTAGATATTAACGTGACCCATTTTGCTTAATCCAGGTATACTTTAAAATACAATCGAAACCACGGCCCTACGCTATGCTACCTAGGTCTGCGCAACAACACGTGTGCTACGACAAGGACTCTAAGCGTTTATTATGGAAAATTATAAATCATTATTTCCTTTTCCTATTCAAAGTTAACTATCCAGACATTAGCCAACTGTTGGACAATAAAATTAAAGGATATCTTGCTTAATATTTCATTACCACCAGCTTCATCGGAAAGAATATCTAAAAAATAAAAATGTATTATAGAATGTTATATGTAAAAGCATTTTCTGGTATCTTTTATTAAAAGCTTACAAAAAAACTCAACATAACACCATGTACAGAATTCCGATTTTTAATTTGATCATCATATTTCTAAATGTTTTTTCGTTTGATTGGTTTAAAATTATTGTTCTCAAACGATAACTTATTTATACTTTCTCTACGCACGAGTAGGGCGGGAAATATTTTTTTTTAATTCGTGTTTATCTAAGTATACCACAAGCATGGCGATTGACGTTTGTACTTTTAGGGAAAAAGATGGTAATCATAGGTTAACTTTGCTGAAAGGTCTACAAGTGATTATTTTTAACCCTTTGAGGAATACTTCGGCAGTTTTGAAATATCAAGAGGTATCAGTTGTATAAGCAAGTTAGTATCTTTGTGTTGGTATTAAACACTAGTCTGCGTTGTTTAATTTATTATCACAAATTAGAATAATGTTAACCTATACTTTTATTTCTGAGGTATTAATCATTAAAAAAGGGGGTATTGCCCTACTCGCCGTTTCTCTAAATTTTAAATTATCTGATAAGTTCTGAGAGTGAGACGTCGCTCACGTAATAAACAATCATTCCTACACCAACAGGACAGAGAATTTGTAGAGCTTGATGTCCCCTACAATGGTCAACCAAATCGACTTTCATCCACTCCTCCTCTGTCCCCAGCGCCATCTCTATCATCTAATGATAATCCTTTATGTTCCTGTTGTGGAAGACGCTGTGGAAGAAAAAAATATCAGGTAATTTTTATCTTTGCTTACGGTTCTGTATTTACGCAAATTCTTGTTGTTGTTCTTGTTGGCAGAATATATGAAATGAATAAAAAAGTCTTAATTCAAAAATTAGACGAGAGAAAACAGTAACAAAATGAATTGACTAATTTGATTTTCTATTTAATGCAAATGCAGTAAGCGAATATTTAATTCACATTATTTGTTACAAATTGCCGGTAAACTTACACACACAATCAAACAAAGTTGTCGAGAAGTAAAAGTTACTTCCCTTAAAATAATAGAAAATGTATCAATAAAAATAAACAAATAATGTACCTTGGTATTTGACTGTTAAAATCGCTATAAGGGAAAGGAAGTATTTAGCTTAGGTTTGCACGAAATGATCTTCATTGGTCCTGACTGTTATTGTTCAACTATGTCAACTATAAAATAGCCTTAAGGCAATGGAAAACAATGCGTTTTCATATTAGTCTCTAAATCTTTATCTACGTGAATTTCAACGAATTAAAGTTTTCTTTTAGTTAATCATATTAGGCTTTTTTTAATGTTTTTTTTTCTCACCACAAATTAAAGAGTCGTGGAATTTTGGTATCAATAATATATCAATCACCACTCATTTAAATTATTATCAGCTACCTAACTTACGGTTTACTAACATATAAGTCTTTTATTATGATCCACTATCCAGTATTATACTTGCTTATTTTAAACTTTGTTTAAAAAATCAGCTTTTCTGAACTTCGTAACAAAATATTATCATTTCCTGTTCCATTTTACACAGAATTTTAAAATAAAATGTTAAAATTATAACTTTATGGATGAAAAAAAATATATAAAACTGTTGTTTTTGACCTTTAATTAATTATTAAAAAATGCGGCAAGTTGGGGAACACGTGCTAGCATCATGATACATTACTTTTCACTGATGTTTTTACTGCGTTCTTTTACTCGTATTTTTAGAAAATTCCCTAAGTAGTAGCAATATTTTGATAGCTTTTGTTTCGACCTCTTTTTTATCGTTTACTTGCATATCTAATTAAATATTTGTTGCACAAACCAAGCTTCTTTATTTGTTGTAATATTAAATTACATTTTCTCAGTACAATTGAAATATTTTTTGATGAAATTCAGATATAACATTTAAAACATTCAAAATACTTGAACTAAATAGTAGACATTTAAAAATAATAAATAAATTGTAACACAATCTCTTTGCAAGTTAACTTTGCATCCTCGGGTGAAACAGGTAAAGAAAGCGTTATCTTGGTGGAACGTTGTGTTGCAATTTAAGTATTCTGTTTTTCACTATCTGGTTTAGCCGTTATTAAAACTTACATATTATGAATGTTATAAGAACACAATTTAACGTGCGCAATAAGTGCGAAAAGTATGTTCTAATGGCATTTCATTAACATGACATAAACTATCATATTCTGAAAACATTTGAGTGAACAAACTGATGAAAGCCTGAAATAAGTTTATAATGTTTGTTGTAAAACCTCATGTACAATTCACGCGTTATTTCATAAGTAGCTTTTAACACACACTCACACAATCACATGTGCATCTTATGAAATTGAACGAATGTATATATATATATATATATATATATCAAACGGTTCTCACTGCTACTACTAAAGTAGCAAAAGCGCCACAATTCAAAAACTTGATAACGTGGGTTCTTTCAAAGGTAGGTTATCCTTCTTCAGGGAGTGAAATAGGAATGAACTAGAAGTGTGAAAATTGGTTAACAGCAGCATCTAATAAAGTTATAGATTTCTATAGCTCATTTTTTATCTTATGTATTTTTCTAAGTATGATGAATGTAGCAAAATAATAATAATGATTACATATAGGCTTCTTTGTATCCATTACCGTACTTGTCGAAATTAAATAAAAATAGATACAATGTGTTACTGTAGTTTAATTTACGTATATCTAAATATCATTGGGAATTTCTATTAGGCCATACAAATTTAATCATCTAGTTCTTTCACTTGTTTACCTTTTTTTTTTTAATTCTGTATATACGACAGTAGCCTAAAAACTTTTCTTAATATTTTGTAGGAAAAAAGTTAACGTTTTATTGAATAAATGACCTAATTAATTTATCAGTGATATTCCGTAATATTCACTTGTTCTTTTCTAAGGAGCTGTAAATTCATACGTTGGCATTTATATTTTAATTATGCTCTTTCTAAACTGCATCCTTTCTCGTCAGTTTTAGTTTCACTTAGCACATTGTCATAAAAGAAATTATGTCATTGTTGACATTCACTCCAAATATCACTTGGCCTTTTCCGTCTACTTATAGAAAACACCTCGGATGCGATTAGAAACCGTGTTTGAACTACTTTCAACAACATGACTCAAATTTCATATTCAAATTTAACACTAACTTGATGACTAAAGTTTGTTTGTTTGTTTTGAATTTCGCGCAAAGCTACACGAGGGCTATCTGCGCTAGCCGTCCCTAATTTAGCAGTGTAAGACTAGAGGGAAGGCAGCTAGACATCACCACCCACCGCCAACTCTTGGGCTACTCTTTTACCAACGAATAGAGGGATTGACCGTCACATTATAACGCCCCCACGGCTGAAAGGGCGAGCATGTTTAGTGGGACGGGGATTCGAACCCGCGACCCTCAGATTGCGAGTCGAGCGCCTTATCCACCTGGCCATGCCGGGCTATGACTAAAGTAACGTAGTGTCAGTGTGGCATTTGAAACTGAAATACCGAAATTAAAGTTACCATAAGCAACACTATTTTTGAATGAAAACAAGAAATCAAACAAAATTCCCGTCACTAAATGAAACAGACAACACTAAATTGTCATAACACTCAAAAACTAGCAGTAAATTTACCTCAAATATCTTGCTTAACATACGTACTTTACGAGAAGAATGTGACAAGTATAAAAATTGAGCCATTGTCTCGCTTACGTCATACGCATACGCATTACTGACAAAGTTAGATATGATAAATACTTTTGTCAAAAACATGAAATAATTGGTTATTTCCTGTTTACATGACAAAAGATATATCTTAGCAGAATGAACATGATTAATTTTATTTAAAAGAGTGAAAATGTAACATTTACAAAGTTTAGTGGATCTACTTTTCTGCGTGATAATACAAGTTCTTCGCCAGAGACAAATCACCAAATCTCGTCAGATCAATGTGCATTTCTACTATTGAATCCCAGGTGTTATTCCTAAGCACGGCGGAAAAACTCGAGCGTTATTCCGATTGGAAAATACAGTGTCAAAAAACTACCAAAGAATTAGTAGGTTTAAAAAATCCTTCATTTTAAGCATTTCGTTTGAATTAATGAATCAGATAATTAATTTTGCATGGCCTAAACTGTCACGTTTTATTAAAGTTATACCCGAAAATCATCTCATAAAACTTTTACTAGTTCTAGTAAAGTCGATCTTTAAGTACGCAAGGGTATTTTAATTTGTTCTGTTATCTTGGTTACTGTTTCCTGCTCGATAATATTCAATCCTCTCCTCCTTCCTGGTCCAACATTTGCACGTATTTCTCTCCCTTTTTTTTGCAGGCCGTCTTAGATAGAACGTCCAGTAAGGTAGGTAATTCTCTCTCTTGACCACCAGGTTTTAAGTTCTGTTACACATGAAGATAAGTAGACATTGATATTCAGAAACAGAAATATTGTGTTAATATTGATATTACTAACTTATTCATGTTTGTTACAAAGCAGTTAACCTGTGGAAAATTCTGGAAATGTACTAAATGTTAATATTTTCCGTACTTTTTAACAAAGAAGTTAAAGTGTTAAAACCATAGCAACATGGAAAGTATGTAAAACTATAATCTTAAAATGTTATATTTAAAACTTGAGTATAAATGATAACTAATACACAATGAAACGGTTTTATCTGCACATTCAAAACATTCTATTTTACAAGCCCTTTAACCCTGTCTGAAGTCTACCATCAGATTTGCTGAACAACTTTGTAAGAAAAAATAACGATATTATATAAAGATATATTAAAAAATAAATAATTGTTTTACTTAAATTAATGTCTAATCTCTACTTTTAAAGATGACGAGCCTCATATGCTCCATTGCTTGTACAAAATCACCTAAAAAGTTAGATATTCTGAAATAGGGTTATATTTCGAAAACAGAATATTTGAACCGTTTCTGAAAATTGAACTTCCCTCGATTTATTGTCTCAAAAATTATCCTTACATCATGGAGGATATCACAAACAAAAAAAAATAATAGGAAAAAGTCAACTTTCCATCTAAATTTCTTAATTATGGTATCAAAATGCACTGAAGAGTTATGATAGAATGATTTCCATAGATGGCCGTTTATTAGCTCGTAAAACCCTAAGATAAATGAGAGAAACTTTCAAAGAAAGAGGATGCTCCCTGGTGGGACAATATCAAAATAATATTTGGTAATTTTCTTAAGAAAAAATAATAATTTGTAGGGAAAGTTTTACAATGAGTTAATATTTTTACGTTTTAGATTAATTAAACTAGTTAAACAAAACTGGTTTTGTGTTTTAGGAAAAACAAATATTATAGTTGACTGAAATCAAAGTGATAATTCTGACTTAATTTTCATTTGGATCTTAAGTATAACATTCGTTTGTTTGTTGTTGTTGTTTTTGTTCTTGTTGTTTTTCGCATAAATAATCCTCTTTGGCCAGGCATTTTAGCTGGCTCACAAAGTGAAAATTTTGCTTTAACCTATCCATCAAAATTTATTCCTATTTATCCACCATAAGCAGTTGTTTAACATAATCAAAAATTACACTCAACTCATACAAGCGCAAATTAACATTAAAGTAATGAATTCTTTACTTCTGTACTTTGTTCAGTGTTAGTGTATTATACTCACTGGCAAAGTTAAAAGCATTTTGTTTTGAGGTTATTTCGAGGTGTAAGTATATTTTATTGTTTTACCCGTCATGTAATATTTTTAATCTTATCTCCTAGTTGGAGGGCTGCGTTTGTCATATATATGTATATATGCTTTACTTATATAACTATTTTTATTCGAATTACCTGTCAACTTTCCTCTTCATTCAGCAACACAGTGGAGTAGGAACATCAGATCAAGATGAAGAACTGAATGATATTCAAGTACGGATTATGTCAAATAGAACACCTCCTTCCAGCGATTCACACCATCAAAATATTAGTCTCTCTAGGTCAAGTTTGAACAATCCGACACCAATGGTAACTGCTATAAGTTCGCCGCCAGGCAGTGGTAGTGTCATCACAACCGTGGTAACAATGTCCCAACCTAGTCCCAATTCTGAGACGGAGGCTATTTTATCTGCCGAAACGACGAGCACAGCATCACCATCTCCTGGTAACACGAGCACGGGTCCCATGGTTCGGATATCAACACTTTAACACGGTCCTATATAAGAAAGTGTAGGTTCCTTATAAAAAATTTTGGTTAGTTGTAACAAGGGAAAGCGGCTAAAACTGGCCGAGGACTTGATCAGTTAATAATTCCATTGCCTCAAACTGAGGTTGTAATCCTGGCAAATGGACAGTGCACTGGAAGCCTGCCCAGGTATTATACTTCCACTATCCTTTTCTCTTTGTGCCATGTTCTGCCCATGTATGCTGATGCCGGATCTGCCTACATTTCCTCATTCAGCCTCTCCATAACTCCCGCATCAGCCAAGTACAGGGGAAAAATCAGTCCACAACTGATATCCGTAATGGCTTTGCCTGTCGTAATCACCGAACGATGGTAAATTTTATTCTCCTTCAAATGACATGTATAAGTTGAAGTCCAAAGTAAAAATAAAATAAAATCATTGATACGTTCGCACAAATGTTTCTTAAACCTAAGTTTGACCTTCCATTATTTTTTTACTTTATTTTTAACTAATTATAAATAATTATTTCATGTTGTTAATGTTTTCTTTATATTGAAAAGTCACTGTGTAATGGGTAACTGTAAATATAGTCATATTAATGAATACAGTGTTATCCGATATTAATGAATACAATGTTAACCGTCTGACGTTTTCAAAACTGTTGATTTTGGTTTATTCGTAAAAAATGATTGTATAAATATTTATTCTTCAGAAAACTACTTGCACAATGTAATGTTATAATAGCGTTCTCTGCAGTTCGGAAAATACGCATGTATTTGTTTAATCTTCTGTACAAGGCTATCCGCAGTTCGTAAAAACACAATCCAACTCATGTTTTTCTTTTGTCTGGAGCTTTTCATGATCTGTAAGCATTCTTAAATAAAAAAAAATCTAGTGAATGAAGTAAAAAACATTTAATTTCAGATAATATAAATTAAGTGGAATGAACATAATGTTCTTTCACCTTGAAAAATTGTGTTTGGTGTATCTATCTGTCTGTATAGCTTGTTGATTAAGAGCATACTTTTGGCATATATTTTGACCTGAATATCTAATATACTAGTATGTACCTTTGATCTAAGTGGGTGAGGGTGAATGTATAAATGCACGGTTTGTGTTACGGTGTATTTTTTTTTCTAATCAATTTGTCGGTCAGTAAAACAGGGCTGTATTTCGTTTACAATTCGAACCACACGAGATAATCTGCTTATGAAATAGCGAAAAAGTAACCTTGGATTTGTGTCACTCATTTGTTGGTGGGTAAAGCGGTAGATATGTGCAACATTTGAAATAATCTTTCAGTCTGGTTTTAATTATTACATCAAGAGTTTAGTTTTGAAATTGTTTCACCATTTTTTTCACAGTGAAAAATAGAACCTAAGCTCAAAATATATGTTGAAGGTGTAAAAAGACTTAAACTTTCTATGTCTATGAATTTACTGGAGTTATATGTGAGTATAAATGGAAGAAGGTCCACGTGTCAAGAACTATAGAATATACAGAGCGTGACATAGGTTTATAAATGTTATAATGTTTTATCGTCGTGTATTACACGTTTTACATGTCACGTGTTACCACTTTATAAGTTTAATGTCTGATGCTCTTCATTACGCTGTTGGTGCAGAAATAAAACTACATGTTGATGATCATCATAAGTGTAAACCTAATTCAGAAAACTTGAAAAATATCATTTCTTACGAGTGATTGAAACTAAACATGCAATAAAAATTACTGTATTAACTAAACAAATAAAATAACCAATTACTATGTTAAAATTGTGTGATAAATGCTCGTAAACTCTTAAATGAAAATTTTAGCTCAAAGTTTGATTGATTGATTTGTATTGTCCGTATCACAAATCATTTTTCAACTATGTCAACGTGGTCTTAATCACAAAATTATTATCTCGTGCATTCAAAATATTATTCCGAGTCGTTATGGTATACGAGTTTCTTTAGTTAGTTGCTACGTCAGTCATGCTAAGGTGAGATCCATTGAGAAAAAAAATATTGACGTTGCTGTCCTAAGCCTAAACTACTGTGAGAGATTCCATTATGTGTATAATAGAGTAAGTTCTCTATTATAATACATCAGTTGAAGTAATCTTCGTTACATCCTTCTTTAACTAGCATTTCTGGAAAGTAAATCTACACAGTAACTGAGCTTCACAGTATTTATGAAGACAGTTAATTCCCCGAGATTTTCCAACTAATATATTTATGCTAAGAAAGATCTGTCATCAGGATTCAGCGTTACTGATTTTAAAGAAATACCTTCGTGACGCTGGAAAGGAAACAGTTGCAAATAATTCACAGATACAATTGTTTTCTTTATATTTGATAAATCACTTGCTATTTTTCAACTAATAGATATTTAAAGAAATTCATAAAAATTATATTTCGGTCTAAACTAATATTGTTATCAAGAGAATAGTTTTAGTTTGCTGAATGAATTCGCCATCACTTGTGGACCTTCCCTTGATAGCTATTGACCTATAAAACTAGGTGTTTAATTCGGATAATACGAGTTAGCTCTTTGATACAATTATCCGAACAACTATTAATTAAAGTGAAATGCTAAAGTGCCCAGTTACTTACTAAACAGATACTGTTTATTGGGTGAAATTAAAACCCGGATGCTCAGTAATTTAACAATCTTTTAGGTATCTCGTGATTGATTGATTTATAAACTTAGGAGCCCAGTAACTGTAAAAAGTAATAAAACTTTTGATTGACGAACTCAAATATAAACTTCAAATGTATAAATTCCTATTTACGCATTGGATGACTGGATGTAATATAGTCTTATGTGCCTGCTGACTGCAAAACGTAGGTTTTTTCATAATTGATTGATTGAATGATTGTGGAAATAGCTACATGCCCGATGGTATGTTTTTATTGTAGCCAAACATTTATGATGTCTATTTAAGTGTATATGCACCTTATATTAGAAGATGCCCTCTAGATTATTGAATCTTTCAATATCTGATCTTCCACTAAAGTAGGTTTATTGATATTGTTCTAGTCTGTTCACTGTCAACTTTAGGTCAATTAGAGAATGATTCAAATATCATTCATGTATTATAATGTATTATGAAACCTTGTACCGCTTCCATACTCTAGAATGTGTTTTTGAGCCTAACAATGATTTACGATAGTCCTATAAATCTACCTTCATATACTTGTTACATTTTGTGCTGCATTTGAATGTGATTTCAGACTTTATGCAAGTTAAATAAATTCATCTCTGTTCTGTAATATTATCTATTTGCTAACATTTTGTGCTTGATGAAATATACCAGTATGCACATCCACACACATATCTGTAACAAGTTCATTTGGGGAATATTTCAGACCGACGATTGTATATAGCATAGTATTATCGTGCAGGTGGTGTAAACTTTTAAGCAATTACAAATTAAATTATCCACTATGCACAAAATCTTTATTTTTATTTTATTGTTTGAAAATTTCACACTTATATCTTAAGCTTATGCATATCAGAGAGTTTCTAGGAAATTCTCTACACGTTTTCTTTTATGATTGTTTGACGTATAAAAGTACATTTTCTGTAACTCCTTTATTTATTTTTTATCCTGAAAGTGAGAGAAGTGAGGGGTTGAAATTATTTCATAAAATTGTATTGCGAACGTTTATACAAAACACTAAGCTTGATACCATCGCAAAAGGCTATCACATACCTGAAATTGAAGAGACAAAAATCAGAATAAGATTGAAACATATAAAAGACAAATATCACATAAACGTTCAACAAAAATGAATAAGATATACATTGATTTTGAACATAGCAAAATTAGACGTACATTTCTGATCGTATCAAATACATGAAAGTGAATGCTTTTATCAGCGAAGTAATCTATGAAAGTATAGCGCTGTTCTTCTTTTAACATGCATATTTTATGGATTCGATAAAAAAAAAGCTCAGGATTTAATGTCTAAACATGGTTTGAAAAATTACTTTTAACAGTCAACTCGGGATGAAAAACCATTCTGAAAATAACAAAAATCCTGACCCCTTTTGTTAAAACATGTGACTGTGTGCAATAGGTTATGAATTTGGACAACGATTTGGCAGGCAATCTTGCGTTTGTATTCATGGAAGAAACGCAAGAGAGCCGAAACGTTGTCCGGATTTAATATTTTCCAGGCAAAGTGTTTTTTTTTTGTTTTTTTTTTCAGAACTACACATCAGGCTATAAGATACATAATATCAAATGTACGAATTTAGCTTAAGTTGAGTATTAACTTTCAGTTGCTTTTTTTTTTTTCAAATGCTTTAGATATGTTGTCATTACATATGAATTAAACTTTTATCTTAAGCGATTTTACTTGCGTTAAGTACACATGTGGTTTTTAAAAATATATTTTACCAGAATATGTTCATTGCATCCGTATCTATATATCTTTAAGAATTGTAGAAATATTCCAAATTAATTACAATTGTATATATCAGGAACATCTGTGACTGTTCTGAAAAAGTTTGGACGTCAGAATAAAAGCTGCATTGTTATTAGTATTGGACGCCAGAATAAGATCTACATTGTTATTAGTATTGGAAGCCAGAATAAGAGCTACATTGTTATTAGTATTGGACATCAGAATAAGAGCTACATTGTTATTAGTATTGGACGCCAGAATAAGAGCTACATTGTTATTAGTATTGGAAGTCAGAATAAGAGCTACATTGTTATTAGTATTGGACATCAGAATAAGAGCTACATTGTTATTAGTATTGGACGCCAGAATAAGAGCTACATTGTTATTAGTATTGGACGTCAGAATAAGAGCTACATTGTTATTAGTATTATCAAATACATTTCACATGATTTTCACATATTTCACTATGCACAATTTTTGTTACTGTCGATAATGCAAGTTGTATAAAAGTTGGCTGCTAACGCTAATTTTGTTTGGTTATACAAGACGTTCTTCCTAAATTACAAGCGTGGTATTGTACTATAAAACAACGTATAACCAAATCCCCCCTAGAACGTTACAAAATATCTATGACATGTTCAGAAATTGAATACCAGTGTTCTCATAAGTATGTTTGCCCTATGAAACTCTAGCTCTAAAACCCACATTACCTAATACTAAGATTATAAATATCATTTTTCAAAATATACATGAAACATCAAGAAAATACACGCTTTAAACCTCGAGCAGAAGCATCCATCCAGGTAATTATAAACATCTAATATTAAACTGTAGTAATACAATTTCTCAAAACAAGTTAAGGTGAATTTATGATGTTGAGTAATCTCTGAATACTAAGAATCGTAGTCGATAATACACATTTTTTATGTGATTACTACATATTTAAGAACAACAGGTATGAACTAAACGTGGCTCAAGTTTATTTATTAGTTAGTCTATCTTCAACACAGTTTTGTCTTACAACCTCTGGGTTGAAGAAAGTTCAGAATCTAAATATTTGAAGGTGGTTGATAGTTTTTGTTTTGAAATCAATTTACACTATAATCACTGTGCTTCTCTATGAAACTATTCTTACCAAGGCTACTAGCTCTCAAAAATGTTTCTCGTGTGTTAAAATACTTATATATATATATAATTCGTTGCTATCAGAGACCAAGATTTTCATATTAATTCTATTGACTAGGTTCATCAAATATTTCTCTTATGCAAGTATTGTTGTCACAGTTTAAAAATAACAATACTGTATTCAACAAAAACTGAAAATATTTGAAACATAACTTTTCATTTACTGTCCACGGTATTTTAGGCAGTAACAATTATATAATGACAACATAAACATATATTTAAGTAAAAGTTGGAAGATACAGCATTTATTTAAAGTGTATAAACATATCTTATAAAGCATATCAAATGTATTTGTTGCGAGTATTTAACAAAACAACTACTATTTTATTCTAGTCATGTACACAGTAGTTTTAACAAACAAGACTAACATAAAAAAAAGCAACCCACTGAGCTTTGGGATCGTAAAAGAAACCTCAGTACCTATCAATCAATACACTACGGGACACTTGAAAAACTTCGTTTCATTGTTCGGTAATTGTTATGCTGTTGAAATTGTAATTCTTAAATATAAAATGTTTAATTGTTATTTTTCTTGCTTGGTGTATAAGGATTTTTCATTCCAATGTTCTGTCATTCACAGTATATGTTGCCAATAAAATGAAAATATTGACAATCAAAACTCAGCCTTGTAATAATTTGTTCTATAACATGTGCTGTAAGTTATTCTAATACAGAGGAGTCCACATCCCTAAATCAAACACAGCTTGTATTTAAGTAACTCGTTATCTTTCGTATAATTTGTCAATAAATCAAACCTTATATTTTGCTTATCACAGAATTTAGTTAATGATCACCTGACTGTGAAACATGTGCGTGTTTTAATCCGTTTATAATTTTGAGTACACAAACCTACTACATGTATTGTACGTGTACACGAAAAACTACATGTTATTATTTAGATTCACAATTAATTTTAATGCTTAATTTTTCTTCGCCTTGTGATTATAGATAAGGATATCCCTTTGGAAACCCCGAAACCGCATGCCTCCAAGCTTCATATTTGTAGAAATAATTCGCAAACAAACATATAACGTGAATTATTATAGGATATATATACTTTTATCAGCATAATTATTAAGTGAAATAATATAATTTATGATTAATTCAAAGTTACGTCAAAAGCAATCAAATAAAACGAAATTCCAAATTAATTGTCCAGCAACACATAAATGTTTTGATTCTATTTTTAAACACTTAACTTATCCATTGTTTTCATCTTCTGTGATACAATAAGACGTTTGTTGAACTACAAGTAAATATTTTACAGTTGTTGTTGTTTTCTTTCATTGGTACAAAAATGAAAAAGATGAGCTCTATAATTAAGATTTTAGTACGTAACATGCAAAGAGAGTGAAATAACAGAAACAAAAATTACTTAAGTGAAAGTTAGTTTGTTTTTCAGGTAAACAATTCACAAAAAGATTACAAATTCTTAAATGAAAGATTTTGTAAATTGTTATTTCTAACCAATGGCTGTTTTTCACCAATTTATTTCACTCTGTATGTAGATCAGTAATTTTATTTTTTAAATTAACTAGGCGTTAATATAAGTGGAAATCAAGTTAGAATTCACACCAGCTGGTATTAAATATCTAATTTTTAAGAATATGTTCACAATAAAATTATTTTGTTTCTTGAATGTCATTCAAAGGGCAATAAATTAGCGTCGACTGTGTTAAATAACACGAACATGTGTGAACCGAACAACATCATACTTGATCCTGATTTGTGACGTATCAAATTAAATAAATAGAGTTGTTTAACAATAAGTAAAATCTTGGAATGGTCTATTCTTTTACTGAGGTGAGTCTGTAAGCCAGACTAGTTTCGGAGAATCCACTCCTCATCAGTGACCCTGGACACTACCCCTAATGAAATATAACAACAACAACATAAGCGTTATTTCATTCCGGTAGAGGGTTAAGCCCTCTTGTCAGCCAATGGACGAAAAAAGAAAAATGGGTAAAATGAATAATAGATGGGTAAGCGTGCAAGTCAGCACAGGAGGTGAAAAATGGGGAAAACGCGATATTTGCAGATGGAGGAGACAATCCGGAGAAATATGGATGAACACTAACCAGTCTATATCATATAATGGAGATTGTTTGGGAACAGGCAACAAGTATATCGAGTATTATGATTCAGGATAGATAAATGGGGGAAGAGGGGACATCGACGTGGTCGGGATTGTCAGCTGGGAGGGACATTACATAGAGGTTCAGTAGCTGATCAGTTGGTGCAAAAATGCTTCGTGGAGTGGTTACAGTGGTGGCGAGAACATCGGAGAAGATGAGATTGTTGTCACGAAAATATTTATTAACATAGCGAGTGCGAAGCTGTAATAGAATATGAAGAACAACATACGACGATAAAAGTCGGAAGTACGACTAATGAGTTTGACGCCAAAGGCGAGCCGTATGGCATGGTGCTCCAAAACCTGGATACGAGATTAGAAGGTCAGAGAAGCAAATATCCAGGCTATATATCCATAGGTTAAGCAGGGTCTGATAACTGTTTTATATATATACAGCAGGAAAGGAAAAAAATATATCACACCAAACCAAGCCTTTATAGTAGTGAGGTATCAAAAATCGAACTGGTGTATTTAAGA